CCCCAAAACCCCAAAACCCCAAAACCCCTTAGAGGGTTTAGAAACTTGAAATTAGTAAATTTTGAGTTTTTAATTTAGAGTGAGTTTTCAAGATGAGGTCCCATTGATCTGGTGGTCATCATAGCACTTTGGTATCTATCGATTCTAGATATTTGCTCGTAGTTTGATTTGTACTGATCCTCATTGGCCAAAGAGGTTTCATCAGATTGATCTGCTACATCAATAAGCCTTCTTCTAGTAGTTGAGTCAGTAACATCAGTCAGATAAACATCATTTGCAACAAGATTGCTATGAGAAGTCTTACCACTATGATACAAGAAGATAGATGCTTCTTCTGAAAAAGAGTGCAACTTACAGGCCTTTATCAGCTCTATTAAATAAACCTTGAAGTTTATAGTCCTTATGTTCAGAAGCATCACAGCAATAGGAAGTAAGTCTTTGATCAATGCAATTAGTAACTGCAATAATCCATTCTCAGAAGGGAATGGCATCCGAGCTGTGAAGTTATATCTAAGGTCGCACTTTGCAACATTATTCACAAAAGTCAGGAGAGTCCTGGAAGCAATAATAATTCAGCTAGATATCAATGTAAAAATGATCCCTTTTCTACTTTTAAGGTACCTTACATATAAGTGATGCCTCATGAGAATCAAGAGTCTGACCCCAAAGAAGAGCTTGAAGAGAATCACAACTCCTGCAAAGACTCAGAGAACATAGAAAGTCTTTTTCCGCATTATGCTTATGTTCTTTCAAGTTGCTTCAAATCAAACTTCATCTGCTGGAGCATATAAGGAATGGCAACCCGATCAATGGGAGTTCGCAACTGAGAAAATGATTATAAACATATTCCATATTCAAAACAAGAAGAAAACAATAAATATGACAAAAATTTCAAATTTTTCCTTAATTTTGACTGTTCTGAACCCAGAAAATATGGTCTCTGAAAATTGAGAAAGAGAGTCAGTTTCTTCCTCCCTCCGGCAGATTACCTTTAAGCCATTGACTCAGTTGCATAAATGACTTTGGAAGTTTCTCCAGCATGAGATATTGATGACTTCTGACATCAAGAAATGGAAGTATATGAACAAGAATACACCATAGTTGTGGAACTCATAACCTTTGTAAAACTTCAATGTGAGATGGCATACACCTATTATTAAGTAGAACATCAGGATACAGTATTGGATTAGCTTGTAGATGTCAATAATCTCATTATAAAATAACTCCTTAATCTTCTTTAAGGATAGTAGTAATAATGCAACAGCTAGAGAGGCATAAATCACACAGAATACGCCATAAAAAATATATAGTGTCTCCATTCCGTATTTCTCTCCATTGGGATCATCCTGAATAAAACAGTGCCAAGATTTGTCAAGAGAGACCGAATTTGAGATGTTTGAGTGCATATTTATATAAACTCTATAATAATCTTAGATCTCGGGGTTTTGGGGTTTTGGGGTTTTGGGGTTTTGGGG